AGTGCTGGAGAAGGCCCCAGGAGAGCAGGAGGTCAGCCCCCCTGACACAGACAGCTTTGTGTCTTCCCTCCAACCACGCTGCACAGGAAAAAACAGGCACAGCCTCCCCCAGGAAAGCGTGTGAGCTGAGGGTGTTAAGCTACAGGACATAACCCCACATCAAATGATGACAGAGGAGAGTAACTGACTGATGAAGCATTCCAGCTCTGATGTTGCTCTTAGAGAAGGCATTAAAGAACCATCACACACACCCCTTGCATGTGCCAAAGTTTATTTTTTTTCCAAAACTTGTTTCATCAAATAATTGGATATGAGCAGTTTCTAAAAAACAAACAGTTCATGTATTAACAAATTGTGAAGTTCCACAATTAAAATATCAACACAGCCAGTCTTGTGCTTAGGCTTCTTTTTTTAAAAAATTGCTTCATAGAACATAAACCCTCAAAAATTTTTTTTTCCAGTTTGTGGCTAGTAGATTTTCCACACATTCTGTATTCTTATAAAATGAAGGAACTCATGTAAAGGAACAGCTGTACAAGAATACATCTGAAAAAGAGCCTGAACAACCTAAATTATAGTAGCTCCTTTAAATAAATATCCAATAAAAGGCACAAACCTGTTATGGGCAAAAACATAACATACAAAACAAGACTGTTAAATAAATAACATAACATGTTGGGTTGGGGTTGAGGGAAATCTGTTCCAGCACCTATTTTGTCATTTCTCCAAGATGAAATTCCAGCCGAACATTTGGTAAAGGATCAAAGTTAATCACAAGGATACACGTTTGAGATATACTGAAAGATCTGATGTTACAATTCCTGTTGTAACACTACCAGTTACTACAATCTCTTTAAATAAATGATCATGAGAATCTGCATAAAGTCGTGATGCAATAACATATATATCAATGACGAGTCAGATACATCTCCAGAGTAACAGCAACAGGTTCTCTCTACTCCTAACTACCAGTAATGTATAAATGATAACATGTACAGTTTCCATTGCTCAAAAATATAATCTTTTACATGGAAATAAATGACTGATACACAGTGCCTTTAGATGTTGTCCTTACAATACAAACTACCCAAAACAAAGTTTTCTTTTTATGTACAAATTAAGCACCGATCCACAGTGCGTACTACTCTAATGGTAACCCCCCCTCCCTGCCACACAACAAAAAACCCAGAAGGGGACAGACCCTGTACTCAATCTTCTAGTTAGGTTTTTGTTGTAGGGTTTCTTTGTGTGTGTTTTGTGTTGTTTTTGTTTGCTTGTTTTCAAAACAGTCCATTTGTTGGTTTTTACCTACAAGTGTCCCACCACTTTGTGCACAGAACTTTGACTTCTCTAGTACATGTGTCCAACATTTTAAAAAGATTCAATAACTTCTTGGAAGCAAAGTCAAACCACATCTAGAGAACATTAGAAAACCCCACTTATTTGACAAGAGGTGCACGTTCCAGTCCAACAGACCCAACCTGATCAGCCTTTCCAAGCTTCCCCCAGCAGTTATCCCATGGCAAGCCCCAGGACAGCCAGCCTCCTGCAGCAGCAGCAAGTCCCAACAGTTGGGCTCCAGTGACCCCCCAAAAGCACAACAATGCAAAGCACAGCACATTTCATCTTCCTCCTGTCCAAACACGGGGTGACATCTCAGTTAGCTGCTTTCTGACACACTCAGAACAGGATTCTGACCCAACGAGTTGGAAGGAAACAGGAAAAGTCACATTTATGTACATCTCTCTTCAGTGCCTGACTCCTCACAACTGCTACTGGCGACCTGCAGGCTAGTACAGTTACCCTCAAGAACAACCTTTGTCCTCAAAGTGGTTTTCTGGAGAACGTTTCTGAGCCATAAAAGCCTTGACAGAGTCCTAGGTCTTTACTTTTTACGTATGAATTTTATTATTTGAAACACAGTCCTCTGCCATTTGATGCTTTCCATCATGTGCACAAGGCCGAGGTTAACAAAAAGCAGTCCTGTGTGTAAAGCAACCTCCTCCTCATAAGGATAAAAGTTGTTTCAGTGTATCAAACATTCCCAACGAGACTAAAAAGAAGGTAGCTTATAAAGTTTTTAGGATGTACTTTGTGGCTGTTTCTCCTTTTTGACTACTAAATAAATTGGTATCAGACAGCTTTGCTACAAGAAAGCATACCAAAGAACCATTAAAAAATCCAGAGCAAAGCACAGGTAGTGCAAACTATACCTAGTACTAAATCTGTTTCTGAGCAAAGGACATTCCAGATATTCAGATTGCTCTGCAATGAAGTTATAACAAATATATACTGTTTGCCAAGCATTTATTTGCATATTTTATTAAAATAACAGATTACTACTTACACAACTCAGTATGAGAAAGAGACCTAGCTGCTTACAGTGCTAGAAACTGCCTGATTGATTGCAGTACTCAGCCCTGTCATTAATGCCCAGACACTTGTTACTACATGTACTGGTCTAATTTGACCTCAGACTTCTCAATGCTGAATAAATCAATGGAATTCACAATTAAACAAACAGTCCCCTCAACACAATGACCCCTTCTAAATGGCATCTATTCCCTCGTCACATGGAGGGCAACTATAGGCACTGAAGAACTCATTGGCTTAGAACTGTACAACCACTCAACCCAATAGAGGTGGATTAAAGCTTGAAGCCCTTTGTAATTCAGACTTGAACATGAGATTGCTACATACCCCTCCAAATTCTTTTTAAATCAATATACATTAAGAAACTCTTAATGTTTTTCAGTTTCTACAAGGTTACATTTCCCAGGAGAGTAGCAGTTTAATTCCAAAGGTTGGGGGATGGTTTCGTTGTTTCTTTTGAGTTGTTTCATTTGGCAAAAGTGTTTCCATAGGGTTAAGAAATATTACTTTTGCCCTCTTGGGACAGAATTAAGTGTTGAGAAAAGGCTTGTTCCCAGTATGAGGAAAGTGCTGAATTTTAGAAGTTCTCTACAGGACTGTTTGACAATTCTCAGGCCTATTTGCATTTTTAGAGAGAGTCAGAGATATTTCTGCAATTATAGACTCCCCAAAATATAAAAGACATGCTACTCTGGCAGTCTATTTATTGTAACAATAGAAAACTATTCATCTTTTGAAAACTCAGCTTTAATATTAATCATTAGAAGTCATTTTACAGGAGAGCTCTTCACTGTATTTTGCCACAAGACTTTTAGAAGAAAGGTTGCTCCCAATTCCATTTACTTGTTATTAACTACTACTTTTTTTAATGCTATCACTTTTCATCAGACATTGAAAAAATACAAGATAAGGCATTTTCACAGCCAATTTCAGTTTTGGAGGAAGATCATTAAATACAAAAGACATGCCAGAAGTCTGTACACATCTGACCCATCACAAATAGCATACTTCATAAATTAGTTGATTTAAAAGATTTTCCTCTCAAAAAGAGTCTGGATTTCTTAACATAGCATTTTTACCTTGAAATTACTATAGAAGAAAAAGATTACTGCAGCATTAAAGAAAAGATTATCTAAAAGTCTGCACATATTTACAAAAATATTTTTTTATATGGTTTACAACTAGGTTCTCATTTCAGAAAAGCAGCACAAACTATTTCCTACAGCTGGATAACTTCAATATAGTTGGCAGTTCACAAGTGTCAGCACTATTGCAAGGTTTGCTTCTTTTGACCAAATGGACTTTGGAGGAGAAAGAAAAAAAAAGGCTCTCTTGCCTCTTTTGGCAGTAGGAACAAGATTTTCCAATTGCTCCTATTTGCTGCTCCTGGGGATACAGACCTGCCCTGGCTCCCAATGCTGCTGCTCCTCAAGCTATTCAAGATGCTGCCTGCAGAGAAGAGACTGGACAGAAGTGCAGCTCCTGCTGGAGCCTCCACGTGCTCTTCTGTGACACACTTGTTTCCCTTATTCCACCACAGACTTCCAGCCCACACCAGAGCTTGGCTCTCTCAACTAGCCACGTAACACTGACATACCAGTGCAGCAATTCATTACTTTTAATATCCATATAAGCAGTATGTAGATATCTTGTTGATTCACAGCATTTCAAAATCACATTATAAAGTTTGCAAATGACTAGAAGCTATTCTAAGGTGAACAAGCTGTCTGATTTCACACAATATTGGCCTTATGACAACGCAAGCACGGCTCTATCAGAGTATTGAATCGAGCACAAAAATTTTATTGCTCAACTTCATTTGTGTTGTGCCTTGGTTACAACAGCCACAGAATTTATGGAGAAAATAAATAGCTTTGACACCCTCAGTTAACTTCCTAAGGTAATCCACTGATGAATAAGGTTGGAGAGCAATCATGTAGCCCTTCTTCTCAGCTTTGAAGATGATAATCCAGCTTGTACCTTCCGAGTCAACCTCAATAAAATACAGTTTTCTTCTGAGGAGTTTAAAAAAACCCCTCAGTGAACAAACATGACTTCACACTGCAGTGACTGTTATAAACAAGAATCTCTAAAGCATTGCAATCCAAAATAATATTGTATTAGACAGGGAAGAAACAGTTGCCCTGTTCAGGAATACATCATGGAAAGATTGAATATCAGTCTTTTTTTACCAGTATTTGGTTGTTCTCACATCTTGCTGCTTTGGCGGCTTTACATGAACTGTATCTGTGAAGGAGAAATGACACGTGAATGCCACTTAAGTAACACGTGGTTCCTCAGTGGCTTACAATTATGAATCTATTCATCTGCCTTGTTAATTGTGAGTTAAAACTAAGTTTTGGCACTTTAAAAATCCACAAAGACTATTAAGACCAACATATTTGGATGACAGGAGCTCACGGTTGCTCAAGTTAAAGAAATCTCTTGCTCCTGCCTTTTTCACTTCCTCACAACCTGATCCTTCAGGAAGCTTTCACCACTGCTGTGGTCAGTATGACTACACCAAGCATCCAGCTACTGCCATAGGAAGTCTAAATTCTACATATGTCCTTCACCACCTCCATTTTAATATTGGTGCAGTAAGAGGGTAGCCACTAAACCTCTGATTTTCACTACTTCTTTGCTTCCTACATTTGCATGTTCTTACCATCTGAATTTGCTTCCTCACCAGCAAAAGCTGCTGCTCTTGACTGAGGAACTCCTCACTTCCAAACACAGAAATACATTAGTAGCCATTCATGAAGCATTTTGCTGCTTTTACCCAGACTGAAAGTTTCAGAGTGATCTCAGGATTAAAGAAAACAGTTCACCTGAGTTTCAGAAACAGGTGCAAAAGGATTTGTTGGCCTTAGACCAGGCTGTGTATACATCATTGATTGAGGTGCCATCAAAGGAGCAGCTCCAACCTGAGGAGGTACCTGTTAGAAAAACAAAAGCCCCACACCACCAGTATATGAAATTCAAACTAATTCTACAAGACGAATCTTTTTGCATAATAAATGTAATAGAAAATACACACAGACACAAACAAAATCAAAGCTTTTAAAAAAAATTGCTTTATCAAAGAGTAATCCCTTTCAGTGCATAGTGGGGCAAAAGCTATGAGATTTCACACACTATTGACCTTATGAAACAAAACATGCAAGTTGCTGGGTGATTTGAGCAAAACACATGCCAGGAGACCCACTGGAGGAGACAACCAGGTCTTTCAGGAACACAGGGCAGTCACATGGCTTACCATTCCATATACAGGCACTTGAGGCGTGGTCAGTGGGTATGCAATAGGAGCAGGTACCTTCAATCAAGAAAATATGAACATTTTAGGTAAGCTCATACATAAATGAACATATATAACATATATAGAAAATATACATGTGTGGAAAAAATACATATTTTTTCAATATTTAAAATAACCAACATGTTTACAAGAAGTTGACTTACATATCCAGGATAGTGTACTCCATTCTGGCACAGCAAAAGGAGTAAGGACAGAAAATTATTGAAGAGGTATTTGGAACTGGCAATTCTAACCAAGGGCTGGATTCAAGTCCTGTACCATAACTGTTTGTAACTATGCTCAACTCATTTATTAGAACAATTAAAGCAAAGGGAAAAAGGTGTGAGGACAGTATCACCAGTACCTGTGCCTGTTAACTCCAGTAGGTTCCCTGCCTAGAGAGCTACCATTAGTAAGACTTAGAGCAAAAATAGAAATTTTAATGAAACTAGCCAGATTTGAGTATGTTGCTTGCACAAACATTTGTGTGAGAAGCTGCTAGAGGGCAGGGCATGCAATATTCCTTCTTCCTCCCAGTATGTGTGAGCAGGGCACAGAGAAAAACAAGAAAGGCAATGAGCATTCAGATAAAGAACCAAGCAGCACCAGATGTTTAGTCAGGTCAATGTTGCTCGCATAGTTTCTGATGTCTGCCACATATCATAATATGAGGAAAGAAAAAGCATCTTAAGCTGGTAACAACTTACATCAGGTCATGTTCACAGGCACAGTGATGCATGCACTTCATACTGCCATGCATTAAGTGCACTGATTTTAAAAAAGCTCATAGCTGAGCTAGTTCTTTGCATCATTAGTTGCTGGAATTCCAAGCAAAGGAGTGAGCAGACAGCTGGCATAAAGCACTCAAACACTTAAACCAGCAAGTGTTAAACATCCAAATGTGATACAAACACACACAACCCAAATCCCTGTGTGGTAAGGTGCCCTCTAACGTTCCCAACTAAAAATGCAGCAGCACTCTAGCGTAACATGTTCTAGAGTACCAAGGAGAGAGAAAGATTTTATGGCCTCCTAAGTCTCATAGAAAAGTGCTATACAACTGGGGCATCCCCTTAGCTGAATTTCATTTTGAGTCCAACACTGGATTTAATATCCTATTCAACTCCAATGATTCTGAATGAACAGACTCTCATAAGATGAAGAAAATGGGCATTACAGGCAAAGCTAGTCTCCTGGAAAATAAAGCCAGACAGCAGTCCAAAATCCATAGCAAATATGGAAATTACTCTAGTTGTACATCTGAGAGGAGCATTCCTCCTTCCTCTAAAGCAGTTAAATTTCAGAAGCGGTTTGTATTTGTGTAAATATGTATGAAAAGCAGATACTTGGAAAATGTCTTTTAAAAGCATAGGAAAAGTCAGTTGCCTACAAATATCCCTCCAAAGAATGAAAATTCTTCCACTTAGTATTTTGCACTGTGTTATGTGTAAATATGAAGTTGCTGTCAAGCATTATCAGAAGTCCAAAGCACTGCTGGCCCAATAATTCAGGTGCCTGACAACTGAGGTGAATGAAAACAAAGGAACTTTGCCCTTGAAACATACTCCTAGGATTCTTATAGGTTCATGTGTGTGTGCATTGTTCCAGACAGCCTTTGCTATTCTTTAAGTCAAGCAAGTCTAATTCAAACAGGGAAGTAGCATTTTCTACAATGAAGTGTGAAATTAGTACAGAAGTTACCATATGTGGAATAGTGGGTAAGGGAGTAGGGTTCCACGTGGTTGATGTGCTTGTTTTTGCTTGCCAGTTTGTTCCACCAGTCAGTTTTTTCTCTGTAGGCTGGGTCCACTGCATATCTGATCTAAAAAGAAACTCTGGTATTAGTTTTCAGAGAATCAACAGTTAGAGTAACATCATAGTGGAAAAACAAAACATGCCTTAATACATAGACAGAGCTGATATCTACAAATGGAAGAACCACTCAGGATTTCAGTAACTCCTAACATCTCTCTGTTCAGAAAGGATGAAGTCTGGAGGCTCCATTTTGTGTTACAAAAGTTAGTAAACTATCTTTACTGCATTGGGGTTTTATATAGCTTCAAGATCTTCACGGTGATTCATAAAAATACTTAAAAATATAACAATTGCAAAATTAAAGTGAATTGTTGACCTTGCTAGGGTGACTGACCACAAACTCACTGCTTCATTGCTGCTCTTGGTACCAAATAACTTTCAAGACAGACTCTTGCTATTGTTAGTGCTGGTAAACTGTGTCAGGGACTACCAGTCAGTCATGTGAAAATACTTAAGTACATATATACACTTACTTTTTGGATGGGGTTCCTCCAAAGCCAAGATCTGTAGGAAATGAGACAAAAATCTAACTATTTTTAATTTGGAGGGGGGAAACAAACAACAATTGTTTTCAGTAACGAATGGAAAAGTTTTACATTTAAAAGTTTCACACTTACTTCCCACTAGATTAGCAAGTGAAGAATCGAGGTCATTTGCCAAGATTTTTCCACTTTGCTGGTTGGCTGAAGGGGCTCTCTGACTTTGTGGTGGTACTGTGGGTTGCAGTACATCATCTAGAAAGTGAAAAGCTGAACAAAGAACATAAAAGCCATGTTAACACAACAGTTACATTGTGTTTGATCAAAGACATCCATAAGCCAAGGAGGTATTTTCTTTACAGAACACTACATGGTTTGAGTATTTATACGTGGAGGTTCAACACGCCAGAACTAAGACACAGACAGAAGCTTTTAACTGCTCATTTTCTTATGGAATACTATACTGTAGCTACTAATCTAGTAAAATCTTTCATTTTACTTCAACAGTAATGGATGGTATTTAAGTTGGGATGAACATCCCCTAAAACTCAAGAAAGAAGGTTGTTAAAAAGTTTCAAAGGGTTCTGGTAACACAATATAGCAGTAATTTCACAGTACTGCTGGTATCCTGAGCATACACAAGGGTTCCTTTGCTCCGTGTTCCTAAGGACTTTGAATAAATAGCAGAATAGCACCAAGATGGTAACTCAGTTATGCTTCAAGCAACACATACAACTAGTTTTGCATTTAGAACTACAACACATCTCAATGAAAATAGAGGAAAGTTATCCACAAATTATCATGTATCAAGAGAAAACACTGAAGCCATAAGCACAGAGAACTGATTAGCTTAAGCTTACCCATTAAGAGATATCCAGTGGGCCATGTTCAAAGTTCATTCCCCCAAAAAAAAGAGAGGAAACCATTACTACACAATACATGAGATAAATCAAAGCAAATTTTAATTAAGATAACTACAATTGAGCTGATTGTCTCTTATCAGCCCTATAATCAGCTTGCAAATGTATTAAGTTATTAAATTTTGAACTGCAATAGCAGTTATGCTAAGTTGTTAAGCAACTGCTGCCTGTAGGGTGTGAATTAGTCATAAGCTGGTTTTTACCACTTGTAGTCCTGTACTCTGGTGCTGTAGATTTTCCTCCAAAAACAGCATCGAAGTCCACGTTAATTGTTGAAGAGGTGGTACTCGGAGGAGCTGAATGAAGAGGAAAACCTGGGGAAAAAAAAAGTTTAGAATAATCAAACACACCCATGGAGTAATACCACCCATTACAGACAAACCAGAAAGGTTTTTTTTTTTTTAAAAAAATGAATCAAATTACCATCAACAGTCAGAGGATGATACACAGAAGCATATGTAGGTTTATGACCACTAAAGTCATCTTCATAAAAAGAGAGGAGAAAATAAGATCAGTTTAACAGAAAAAGGAAGAGGGGACCCAAAAATTAAGTCTGCAGTTAAAAATTAAGGATTTTTAGTAATAAAAAGGTATTCTTTTATTTAACAAATTTGAAAAGTTCAAGTAACTCCTGCATTCCCCATTAGAAAAGAGAAAGGAGATTGCAGTAGAAAAGAAATCCACAAAAATTCCAGCAACATGCAAAGTCTTATGATATCTAGGTTGGGCAAACTCAGTGAAACAATTATTTCTACAATTGAAGTAACTAAAACTAAGGAAACAATTTACTACATCTGGAATTAATGCACCATTTTAACTTAATAAAAAGTGAATATTGGTCCAAACCACAGGAAGATTACATGGCCCAGTTTATTAGCATTATCATCTCCAGTTGCAGAGAAGTTACATGGGGTTTGTTTGGTTTTTTACCACTAAACAGTTCCACCGTTTGTTTGGAGGAAAAAGTAGAATTGATGAAAGGGGTGGTAGATTTTACAGCTTCTTCAACTGGCTTCATGTCAAAGATGTCCAGATGAGGTGGAGAACCAACACAACCATTTGAGGACGAGAAAGGACCTTTCAGATGCAGAAGTGAAGGAAAGAATAGAGTACAAATAATGGAAAAGGAAAACAGACTGAAGTGACTGAACATGAGAATCTCTAGACAAAGTCACACTGTAAATTTCCCACCTAGTGATCAGTTCATTAAAGATGCAAATTCTTAGTTTCAGATAAAAATCTTAACAGCTGTCTTTATTTAGAGGAAACAATTCTAGTATTGCCATTGGGTAGGAGGGGGAGAATGACAGAACATTAATCCATCAAGGAAGTTAGATCCTATATTTTTGGCTTCAAGAATCTACCTTTTATATAGCACATAAAGGTATCAATTCCACCTATGAAAATACCAGCATTTAGAATGGTGTTAACATTGCCTTATTTCAGCTTTTATGACATTTATTTGAAATGCATCCTGATTATTCTTTAGAGGGATGGGTGAGGGTACTGAGACTGCTGTGTGCAAGAAACTGGGAACAACAGCTTTCTTTTAAGAACTTGGAAGTCACCAGGGCCTTTTAAATGAAAGGTACACTCAGTATCACAATGGAATGGAAATACTGGTCCAGCATGTTTTCAGTTACATCTGCTTAGTTTACTATTTCCCAGCACTTTTCAACTTTGATTTTTAGTTACATTTCAAGTTTTAAGATATGGATTCAGTTGAGTATAATCTGTATTTTATTCCTGTATTCTAAGAATTTACCTATCACTTAGACAGTGAAACCACCATATCAGCTTACCTCCCCAAGCACTGCTTGCTGACGTTGATATAGCTGGAGTACTCTGCACAGTTGGAACAAATGCAGGCTGAAGATCAAAAAGATCACTAGAAAGGTTGGGCATGCTGAGTGAGAGAAGAAATATGAAGATCTGTAGTAGGCATTCTATTAATTGTATTCTTTGTGTCACAAACACACCAATCTCACTTCCTCTTGTCTGCTAGTAGCCCATCCATAATAGCAGTACAAAACAAAACCAGTAATTAAGCACTTCTTGACTGCTACCAAAACTCCTGTGAATGCAGCTGGGAAGCATCAGCAAAAGGTTATTCTTGACAAGTAACTAGGATCAGTTGATTGTGAAGCTCCAGGCCAATGCAATAACTTCTGCTTGCTCCAGAAAGCAAAGTATCTCTCACCTATTTGTTGTGGGTGCTGGTACAGCAAAGAGGTCAACAGCTACAGTGGTATTCACACTTTTTCCTGATAAGGTGCCTGGGGATGCTGATGTGGAAGTGGAATTTGGTACTACAGAAATCTCTCTTAATCGCTGCTCCTGAAAGGTGAGATGGACAGTTTGTGTTAATAAATGAATACAATTCAATGCTTCAGTCCTGGAGACCTTTTTCAAAAAGAAATTTTAATTACAGTCTTAAATAAAAGTTATTCTTCTGTAAAGTCCTGAAAACAAAGATAAGTGAAATTAGAGATGGAAGTATTTGTTTTAACAAAGCCTTTAAAAAAAAAAAAAGTGGGAGCTGAGGTTTTAAAGAATTATTTTTTTGACCTACCTACAGCTGCCCAGAAGTAAAACACTTCTAGTCACATTCTAGGCTCCCTTCCTAGTCACTCTGAGAAACAAGCCCATGGACCTTTGTTCAAGAACACACACCTTTCACTCTGCTGTTAGCATCTCTTCATACTTCAGTTCATAATATCCATATGGTGTTGCTCTTAAACTAGCAAAATAAAAACCTAGTTTACATTGTTAATTTTAGGTTGACATCACTCATTACCTCTAGGTATGCCCACTTCATTTAGACAGCACAGGTCAAAGCACAAGTGCACATTTTACATTGCTTTACATTGCTCAGGTAAAGCACTGAGTGAGCTTGCAAGCTTCCTTGCCTCCAGTGACCATTTCTATCCACCGACTTAATAATTCCATTACAGCAGCTACACACATCCTAGTATAGTGGATGTAGGGCTGCAAAGAGGGGAGACGTTTGATGCAACTCCTGAAAACAACCAAAAAACCAACTCCAACCAAAAAACCCGAATCTCAGCAAGTGTTGTGGTGATGTTTAAGTGCAGCAGTTCAGCAGCAGGCAGCAAGACACACTACCACTGTAGTCTAATAGCAAAAAAGCTGCTTCACACTGATTTGACACAAACACCTCACACCAAATCCAGCAAGTAGCTAATCTTCAGACTCCCATAACTCCAGAGGTGAAACTCAACTCTGCATTACCAAAGCTTACTTTCACACTCCAAACAGTTTCAGGCTCTCACAATGTGGCCTTCAGAGGACGTGGGCAGAGTTGTTTCATTGTTCAGGTGTGTCTACAGACCTTAAAGTAACAAGAACAATTCCCAACTGCCCCACTAGCATGTGGCCAGGACGTGACAGAGCTAGAGATGGAGCTTTCAGCAAGAGAAGCAGCTTGCCTTGTCTGAGACTCTGTACTGTGTATGTTCTCAGAAAGAGTGGTATAAACACATTAAAAGGACCCTGAAGGACCAGGATGTTCCTAAGAGGACTACTCAGCAAGTACCAATGAGCAAAGGAAAGCACATTAAGGAACCAAAAAAGAACACACTGATTTTCTTTCCAGTGTGTTATTATTCAAAGTCCATAAACTACAGCTAGATTCATATGATCTCAAACAGTTTTTCAAACTAAATTAGAGAATTGTAGCTGGTAGCAGTTACATGTGGGTAGAACTATTGTGTATATTCTCATTATGAGCAATATGACTAAGAACTACACTGCCATCATATCCCATACACTATGGGGAAAAAACTCCCTCCTACCAATAATCAGTCTTAAAACAGCAATGCTGCACATCCAGCTGCTGAGAAGTACCCTGGAACTATTGTATACTCATTTTGTGAATCTTTGAGAAAAATAATCTCTTGTAAGGAAGTATATAAATTATTTATATCAGTTCTCTGTGTAGAAGGGTATATTGTATATGTATAGAAAGGTACATTGATATATGTATAGAAGGTACATACTGGCAGCCATCACATCTGCATCCTACAGAATCATACTTTGGCCTCTCTCAAGATGAGAGTCCTTCCACCATACAGTATTTTAAGCCAATCTTGTGTTTCACTTGTATCCAGTTAAAACTCTCAGAATACAAATCTGTAAAAAAAAATATAGTACCTTAAGTGCCTGCAGTCTAGCTTGTTCCTCCTCCAATGCTTGCTGCTTTTCCTTCTCATCCATCCTGCTAAATGACATTCCTGTATTGGCAAGTGTGGAAACAGCACTGGATAGGGCACTAGCTCTAAAAACAGCAATAAAAAAAAAGTTTTCTTAATAAAATGTTAGATATACATCACTTATAGTTTACTTTTCAAATGCCTTATCTAGTTAGGTGTCATTTCCCCCTCCACTTTAGTCTTTTCTTCCCTTACTCTCTGGTACAGAAATGCAGACACCCCAATAATGAGGGAGTTTGGTAAAAAAAGGGGCATGAGTCCTTCCTCAAGATTCAGCAGGTAGAAACAGGAAAATGCAGAACAGACCAGTTGTGTTTCTTCTTTAAGGTCATATAGACTAGTCTGGAATTCTCTTCCCTTCAAGTGGCAGAGGCACAGAAAGCTTTACCAAGTTTCTGTGGGAGAAAGCCTATGCCGAAACAGATCTCCCACTCTTCAGTCACAAGTACTGTTCATACACATGGATACCATACTTGACAAGCAATGACAGTTCTTGTCAGCACAAAGCACCTGAGTTCATTTGGCTGTTCTGAGAAGGGACTGAAGCACTTTTGTACCCATGGTAAGAGAAATTCATTGTCTGAGAGGTAAGACAAATACCATCATATCTTGGATAAAAAAAGCCTCAATAAATACCTTAGAAGCCTTATAGACCAAAGGATTTAAAACAAGTAAAAGCTAAAAAGAATAATGTACAAGGTCTCAGCTCAGTGGTTTATCACACTGTAAGAAGTCTGTCAGACACAGGCAGACATACATAGCTCAGTGACACTTAGAATCCAGGTATCAGACTACTACTCACTGAACACTTCAATTATACTTCTAGGAAGAAGTGAATAAAACTTTTGGAACTGAATAAAACTCAAGAACACCAAATGACTGAATCCTGAAAATTCTTCGTGTAACGATGACAAATCCTAAGCAGAGACATTGTTGTAATTCATTGGGTGCTCACCTGCTGGCAGCAGAGACTTCTTTTGTTTTCTTTCCCTCCACAGAAGCCAAATGTTGTTCCAGTGCTTCAAGCAAGCTGCTGGGTGCCTAAAATTAAAATATTTATAAAACAATGCTTCTAGACAACACATCATTGTTGAGTATACAGATTAACTTCCTCATCTGCTAAAACCAAACAAAACCTCACATCAGTAGTCATGCCTGTGGGTTTTGCTGCACAGCTGGATTCTCTCTAGGCAGCTGTGGCTCCGAGAGCAGTGGCACCAGAGACACAAAGGATACCCCCAGAGCAGGTCTGCTTCTGTGTATGCAAGCTGCACTCTTGGTTTTGGCAACAGTGTTTGTGATGTTAAGATTAATGCAATGATCACAGCTGATTAACAAGTACTTCCTTGAACTCACGGAGTACTAAAATGAAGCCTTTGCATTTTTTATGCCCTTTCCCCTGTAACAAATCACTTCCCATTCAAATATTTACAGTCAAAGCCTTGCATTAGAAACACTTCACTGCAGCAGAGCAGAGTGTTCAGTTTTATTAAAAAAACAAAGCAATCCAATTCAACCTGATCCAGCAATACTATGGCAGGCCGAGTGGCTACTCAACACATGACTACACAACAAACCAGCTCCAGAACCTTTGGTAGCCTAAAAATATTAGAAACTAGCCACATCACTTGAAATAATATTGGGTTTTGAAAAGCTTTTAAACATTATGCTGTGTTTTAAAGCAATGAAGGAGACTCAAAAAACCTCAGACTTCTCACCACTTAAATCCAGCAGGAAGCCAGGGATTAGACATTTCATCTAAGACCTGAGACACCCATATGAGCTTTAGGTAACCAATACTCACAGGCTTACCAAGGCTTTTGAGAGCACATACATGCCATTATTGAGTAACCAAGAAAAAAGATTTTAACTGATAGGTAACAGAAAACAGCAAGTTTAAAATATACAGACTCTGGCACACCAGATCTGCTTCAATTCCTACAGAAAAGAAGAAAGGAGTGCCCATTACAACCTGTCTTCTTTCTGCCATTTATACCCACTACAGAAGTATTTCTTCAACACCAAAGGGAAGAGCTTCAAAGCTCAGAAAAAAAATTTGAACTCATCTTGATTACACAGTCCTAGTAGGAAGGAAGATTTCTCCAAATCACCCTATCAAAACAACCTCCAGCAAGCAAAATTACTAGGCTGGCACTTTTGGAAGAGTTCACTGCCTTGCTGTTGTAGCCACATGGCTCTTTGGCTTTTAACTAGGTAGTCCATAACTCCATATAACAAGTGACATAAATCCTGCTGCAGATTCAGATAAAGGGAATAGACCTCTGAAGTTTTAATCTACTTGCCAGCTCAGTCCTCCTCATCTGGCAGGGTTTCAGAGACATTAAGCCTCTCTTACCACTTGCCAACTTTGTGTAGGTAGAACAGATACGAGAGGCATTATTTGGAATAAAAACAAGCTTGCCCTTGCTGACCCTTCTGTACTAAAAGCTAGACCAAAGTATTTCCTGGAAAGAGGAAAAACATTAATCACAAAAGACTTTAGCCAGGTCCCCTCTGAAACACTGAGCCCAATTCTAGCTTCCCACATTCAATGAGGGCCAATTCGTGCTGTGAGAGATGCAAAGAAAAGCCATTAGAATAATCCTATAAGACTGCTTGACAAAGTTCAGGCCCAAGTTGATATTTCTTTCTATAAATAGATAAGCTAAGACAGTGTAGTCACCTCAACCACTGGTCATCAAACAAATTCAGCATTCAAACTAGAAAGCTGAACCCCAGTGGGGAACATTTTGAAATGTATCAGGGATGAAAAAAAAAAAAAAACCAAAAAACACCAAAACCCCCCACACTTTTATCTTTCAGGAAGAACAAGAGCTTGCAGAAGGTATTGCATGACACAGCCAGAGAGATAATCTTCATAGCAGGAGACTACTCTAATTCCACAAAGTTTTTCCTATTTTTTTTTTTTTTTTCAAGACACACCAACACTTATCTGTATGGACAAGTGTCTTCTAGACTTACATTTCTGAAACCCTCTAAACAACCCCCTCAACCATAAAAACTGAAAACAAGAAGCCAGTAACTTTTGGGAACTTTCTTGTTGCTGCAGACATCCATTTTATCAGGGATGAAATTCTGAGGGAAGGAATCTTAGTAGTTTTTACATCAGAAAAGATGCCTGGGCTAATACAGACTGACTTGAAAAAGGCTGTATTTTATGGTACCGTCTCCTTCCCCCCACCCAAAGACACCTGACAGATTAACACCCACACAGAGGAGAACAACCCAGTTGCATTCATGAAATACAGTAACAGCTATAAACAGAATGCAAGCACCACCACTGTCAAACTGGCCACCTACAAAGGGCACTGTCTTCTTTATGGGAACCATAAAGGGGCAGTAGTGTGAACATTAGAATCAAGGAAGAAAAATGTTTTTATAGCAGTAGTAATAACAAACCTCTAGAGATAAAACCATTGTTGGCAGGAGCAACTGAAGGAAGCTCTGAAATACACACATCCCACAACAGAATATATACCAGAAATGTAAACAAAGTATTTGGAAAAATACTAAACATGGTACAACAGAAAAGAAACAGAAGACATGACCCTGTCAGAACTTATTTTGGAAACACAAGTACACTGAAAATTTAATTTTTGTGAAACCCTAGTATTAAGAAATTTTAGCAAATTCTTTTAATGTGCCACTAAATTGATGTACAATTATTCAACTCTTAAAACCCACAAAATTCACTACGGAAGTGGAACACTTAACAATGGCCCTGAAATTGCCAAAACACACAAGATGCTGACATCTAGCACCACAGTTCAGAGCTCTCATGTCCAAGTGCACTTAAAAGAGCTGAGCTGTCAGAAAAATGTTGTGAGAACAGTAGATATAAAGAGGGTTCTCACTGAACGTTTCAGAAATAAAAATCAGCAAAATAAAGTTAAATACCCTATTCTCAATAAATCAAAAAACCCTGCTTTGAAGGGACATCTAATGATGCAGTTAACTGCACAACAATTAACTGCCCACAAACCCAGTGAAGGGTAACTTCAGACTTGAGTATAATTTGATTAGCATATCACAGACAAGCCAAATATTGTCTTTTGATTAGTACTGCCATAAGATACTAAGATCAAACACCAATAGAAAACCATCAAACTACTGTTTTTCGCTCATTACCTACTCTTACCCTACTGATTACAGTCATATTTCTTTCCTACAAAACCCTAGAAGTTCTTAAAAGCATTAATATTAATTGCTAGAAAGATTAAGAGGTCTTTGCTTTGAAACCTGTATGATTTCAGATGGAAATCATACTGTAGGCAGTAATAAACAATACTGACCATGGAAGTTTGTGGTCCAGATTTGATTTCCATTTTAAAGAAACTGATGAAGTTTAGGCAAACCTTCACAGTAGGTATTTTTACATGATTAACCCATGACATTTAATTTTGTAAAGGTAACATAGGATTAGATGTGACTGTTCCAAGTTTACACATTAGAATTTAACTGTTTCACACTGATTCCACTTAAAGAGCCTGAATATTCTATACCTCTCACACTCCAGTTCATTGCCCTTCATATCTTTAAATGTGGCTTATGTGTCAGTGAATCCCCTGTGATAAAAAAACAGTTCTTGAAAACTATCTTCTGTGACTTTTATTGCTTTACATTAAAAAAAATTCATAAGAGCTACAAAGTGCAAGTAGTCAGTACATTTAATCCATGGGAAAAGCTACCATACATATTTCCCATATATAAATACAGAGAATACATTGTCAAGGTGAATGATTACTATGGTACACACTACCCTTTAAAAATTCAAATAATAAAATTATTTTATAACCAATATATGTACACTAACCTGAGTAAGATCTGGAATGTCACCCTGATCAATTCCAACTTGCTGGGTTTACAAAAAAAAAGAAAAAAGTACATTACTACAGGCAGTGACAATGCAAATAAATCCCAGTGATGTCTGAATGTTACACAAACTAACATATTGAAAAGGGAGATTCACATCTTTCTGACCTAGTATAAAACTTCACCAGCAACACATCTTGGAAATCACAAGTGCATTAAATTGCATCTCAAAGCACATTCAACTGTTCACCCAGCCTAACTCTCTCCTGAAGAACAACTTTCAGGGAGCATTACAAGCACCCACATTGCTTACTGGAACTAATTTTCCATTTTGAGCAGTTACAGTAAAGGACAGCACTGTATATGTACTCTAACATTCAGCTCAGACATTTTTGGATCATTCATGAAATTTCTAACAACACTTCAGAAAGTTTACTATGTTGTCTGGCTAATAAAAAGGACACCCAAGAATTTGAGTTCACATGAAGTATATACAAACTTTACAAGACCTAATGTGCAGAACACATCCTTGTACAGCAAAATTAAACAATCTGTTTGGAAGATGTTATGAAGAATATAGATTACTGTATCAGTGTAGACAGCTAAATAATATCCTTTCCACAGACGTAGGTTTATTTACCTCTGATACTTTGAGGAACTCTGACAATTTGGTCATTCTGGCTAGAAATTTTTTGTAAATATCCAAGCCTTCTTTGCATTGGTTCTTCTTCATATCAAAATATCTTTCTGGGGATGCAAATAAAACTCTTGTAAGATAACAGCCTCCCCAGCAAAAAGCTGACAGTATTATAAAAGTTAACTCAAGACAAGCTTCAGGGAGAGGAGACAGGAGTAACTGAAAGCTATTCAGGCATTAAACTCTGCAGGAATACCCAACACCTTGTGTAGAAAGTCAATATAGAAACACTGATTTTTCTATTTCAGTACATTAGAATATAATGCAAAGCCTTATTAAACATGGAGGCAAGTCACTGCAATTGTTAAATTAAGCATTTAGGGGGCTATTTTCAAGAAGTCAGCTTCTTAGCTGGCAGTGAGGCAAATTATATTATTCTTTGAAAATACTCCTGGTATATACTTAAATTTTTAGACCCTATTTCAATACATTTTGATGTTTGTAAATAGGCTCAATATCCAAGAGACATCAGAATGGTTGATGAAGTGGCACATACACTGAACTGACCTACCAAAAGGATTATTCACCACATGCTTCACTTCCTACAGTTTTGCCCTACATATTCATAGGTATTTCATGGAGTAAAAACTAATGGATTAAAATAACAAACTGATCAGATGTTCCAATTCAGAAACTTGCTTGAAACCCACATGAGGGTTTTGCTAAGAGTTTATCACTCCTGAACAAAAACCTTACATGGAATCTACTAGGCTCACATAGATTCAGGTACCAGTTGAAATGACCAAGATATAAAGTAAAGGAAACCAGAAATCAGTCTACTGTGACTATACTAAATGTTCATTGTACCAGGTATCTCACTAGTACTTTTACAGGCCAGCTGCCAAAGGTTATCCACCACACATTTATGGTATTTTTGCTTTAGTCCCATCAGCCATCCAATCATCTCAATTCCTGTTTCAAGATGTGTTCTTCAAGGTAGAAGCGTATGTTTAACCCTGTGCTAGTTGCCACTGAAACCAAAACAGGCTTAAATTAATGGTAACAGAGCAGAGAATTTATTAGGAAGATGCAGTCAGAAATAATCTGTGTCCTTTAGGGGTCTCTATATTTTTCACAAGAGTTCAAAAGCCAAAAAAATGCTCACATACCTAGAAGATTAATAATCCCCTCATTGTATGCTGCAAAAAGTCTAATGGAATCTTTAAAGAGGAGCATAAAGGCAGCGTTTATAACACCATTTGTTAACTCATTTGGATTTGCCTGTGTAGAAAGCAATGAGAAAGGAAATTAGTATTTAATAAAATAATGAAACAGTTCAAAATGAGTGTTACCCGACACTGAGCTTAAAGCACTTACATCAAAATCAAGGAGCGCATCAAGCTGGTTCTGTATGATTGGAAGAGTTTTCAGCAGCTTTTCAGCATTCATGGTTCTCATCACCCCATCTATCCTGCAGAGTAGAAGAGACACGTTTACAGATTACCAACACTCCTCAGCATGTTATGCTCTTTCAACAACACTGCATTGCTTCGAAGGGCCGAAAGGAACCCCAGCTTATGGTGTGCTCAAGAATAACAGGTATTCCCCCCCAAGTATGGAAGGCCAAACAACAGAAGCAGTGAGTCTTACCCTCTTTTCATTTTGGTGAAGTCAACTGCTACAAGTCTATATGAAAGTGCTTTTTCATTCAAGTATCTGCTGTATCGCCTAATGAAGGTAGACATATCATAGCCTAGAAGTGAAGCATTTAGAAGTTAGACATTTTGAAGGGGTATGATTTTTTTTAAGTTCTTTTCAAGATCTGTTCTCCTACTAACCCACTTTACATCAACTTGCATGAAAAGCCCTTCATAGGTACTTCCCAGAATCTTGAGATTCACTGTTTTTTACCATGAGATGTCACGTTAGTTTCTTCCCAACTTGTTAAGATTAGGAAGGGATTCACTGCAATTATGAGAACACACAGCTAAACATTAAAATAGTAGGTAAGAAGCAAGCATAAAATATTACGCAAGAGCCAAGCAGCTCTTAAGATGGTTCTTGAAATTAGACAAAAAATACATTCCTAGTAAAAGCTGAAGACTTTGGTAAATGATCTGCAATGCTTCAAAAACATATAGAAAGACCTAAAAAAAAATATCTTTTCTACCATTGACAATTAAGACACTGTTAAGAGTTTACTTTCTAAAATTTACAGCTGTGCACACACATGATACATATGCTGCAGACAAAATTCCTACCACTCAGCTAGATAATACAGAATCTCATTTTCCTTCTATCTACATCCTTGGTTAGACATTCTTTGGTGCCTCATGCAACAGAAATCCTAATACCCTTTCATTTACAAGTCTGTCTCCTAGAGTGCACCAACACAGACACTGTCACAGAGCAAAAGCAGGAGTTATTTCTGCCAGTGAAAAGGTCCTTACCCTGCATGGCACTTTTGTCCAGGTAGTTATTTAAATTGAACAAAGTGTTTCGGGATGCAAGATACTGGATAAAGCGCTGTTGGTGAAGAAAAGGTTGAGAATATCATTGTTGTGAGAGTCCAAAACCCTTAAGCATATTACAAGAAAACTACATTCATCTTGTAACTAAGTCATCTCTATCCACAATATCAATTAGTTAAAAAGGAAAAATATATAGAAAAACTTGAAACTATTGATTAGCAAAGTCTCTGAAATCCAAAATTGGCAAGAACAAAAGCTGCAACTAAACAAAAAGACATTACTGTCCGTGAGTAAATAGAACACTTAGAATCCTAGAGGAAGTTGCTTAGGTTGACCTTGCAGTTTAGAACAGACAAGCTGGAAAACACAAAACAAAATACTGGGGGCATTATCCATGCTCCCAAGGTTTGCATGGATCTGCCACTGCAGTAGAAGTGGGAGACAGGCTTAGTTAGAAAGTTTAAAAGTTTTTAGTAAAAATTATGTTTCTGGAACCCTGGTGAGCAGCAGCACAGGGGTTACAACAGGGTCATTTAACTAAACAACATTCATGTTTTGACAAATAGCTAGCTCCACAAATAATGCAATATTGAGACAAACACACCCAGATAGCAAGGTAACTTTAAAAGTTTCACTGCCACTGTTCCATGCAAACCCCCTCCAACTGTAATTTCTTGCTTCTTTGTATGTGTTTTAGTGCCTAAAAAGAGGATTAGGATCAGTATGGCTTGAGGGACTCGCTACATTTTGATCTGACTCCCTCTGCTGCCACAGCACCCAGGGGCTGTTCTCTCACCCTTCCTGGTGGAGACCCACCTGTCTGCCAGGTCTGGGCTATGGCACTCCACAAAAGCACCATTTTTTCAGTCAGGCTCAGGACAGCACCTGCTCTTAGAATTGTAACAAGGGCTTAACACAGCAAAAAGAATTCTCACCAGTATTATTTCAAATGAAATGAACTTCCACATTCCAAGGGGCCCAAATGGTTCCCCAGCTTGTCATGTACCACCTCACCAATAACTCAATATCAATAACTTCTCATCAGTAACTCAGCCTATAGCCTCAGAGTTCACACAAGTCTACCACACATGGCTTGCCTACCAATAGTTCTGGCACTGTTTTAACTTCTTACTCTGCTTTCCAGTTGGTTTATCTGGTCTTTATACATCTTAACACTGCATTCAAAGAGATACAGAAGAAGAGAAACAGTTGGAACATGAGCAGGAACAGAACAGTGATATTCAAAAGGTGTCTATCCACATTTCAAAATCAGTGACTCTTCTGAATCTCATTTTAAAAGGGCCAAAGCTTACTCTCACTCTCCAGGTATCACGGGTCTTGCACTGCACAATGCACAAGTGAGAGGAGTTTTTACCCTGTTTCACCCAAGACTTCATCACAAAAAACAGGCAGTCATGTTGAACAAGACAGCGATTGCTCTGAAAACATTTTGACCACCTGCTATATTTTCTTGTACTCATGTAGAAGCCAAACATCTGATATTTTTAAAATTTAAGGCCTTTTTCAGTATATTAGAAGAGGAGTACACTCATGTTCTACTTGAATTTACAGAACTAGTGTTTCAACCACATTATCTCAGCAGGTATAAAGGAACTCTTCTTGAAGTTTCAAATATACCCATCCAAAGCTGAGAAGCAGCTTTGGTACAGACAAAAATTTAGCTTTTATGGCACTACAAAACTTTGTATGGGCAAAGGATCAGTAGCCCACAACTGCACTAAATTTTGAGCAATTCTTCTGGTTCAGCTGTCTGCTTTTTTTTTTGCTTACAAGTTTCAGTGTGTAGATATGAACTGTATTGGAAGAAGACAGAATAAAATAGACATACTGATTTACAGCATTCAGTTTGGCTTTATACTTGGAATAATTAGTGAATTCCAAGCAGTGAATTTTACTTGATGTTATTGTCTAATTTCAGCCTTTATCTGTTGAAATGACAATTTAAGCACATAAATAACTGGGGGAAATGAAGCACAGTGTGCTTTCTGTTAACATTTCAATTTAGTTTACACAGCTTTGGGGAAAAGAGGCAACACACAAGTTTTCAGAGCAGTTTAACAGCTGGAAGCAGCACCTTTAAGAATCATCATTTCAACGTTTCCAGTAGTCATCACAACTACACACAAGTTCAGGATTAAACTGACCTGACCAAGACAAAGTTCAGTTTTTAACTGAAGGACTGTGCAAGAGAGGCCACATCTCTAATGCCATGTTATTGTCTGAGAAAGTTTTCATAGTCAGGAAGCAATTTAAGTGAACTAAATTCGATAGAAACTCGTTTTGAAGGAATGTCAATAATGACAACATACAAAGATTCAGCCCATTAGATGATGATTTGCAAGATCAAATATTCTAGTCACCATACCCCTCCTTGCTTTAGTAAGTATTCTTATCTGTTAATGGGTTGGCCACACATTTATGGAGTGCTAACAAGACTTCTGCTGTGCTCTTACTGATAAGCACTAGCCTAATGAAGTAAAGCTCATCAGAATTTTTCCAGGTCTTCATTCTAGAAAGGTCACTCACAGCTCAACCCAGATACCTGCAGGTAAACTGCAAACACCAATCCCTTTCAGCACTGAAATGAGGAAGCTGTATTTTCTTCTCTGGAGAACTACTTTACAGCCATCAACACAGAAAAGCAAAGACCTTTGAAAAAAATCTAAATACATAGATTAAGACAATTTTTTAAACCACTGTCAAGGAGGCTTTAACAGACCTAATCACAGCTTACCTCATTTCCATACATCATGAGGTGGTGTGTTGTAATTAGAGCTTTGAACACTACGACCCAGCTGCTGTTTGCAGTTCTCTCAAAGAGCGTGTCTGCCAACTGTGGAATATTCACATTCATTTCATTTGTGCACTGTATTAGGTCTAAAGGAAAGAAGAAAAACAAGAAAAATCAAAGCATTACAAAGAGTTACATGCTCAAAGAGGATCATCATGTTATTTTATTTTTTTTTACATTGAGAATTCATACTGTAAACATTAACTTCAGTTCCTGAATAATTGAGCTATTTTACATTCCTTGCTCAAATTCACTGCATTTTACTGAGACTCCCAGTAGGAACTTCAAAGGCTTTTCAGTAATTCTATGCAGTTCAAATATCTCATCAATAAATAACCTGCTCCAGTAGAAACTCCGTGCCCAAATGATTGCACAAAAGCCAGTGCAGACCTTCTGAACGCTCAGTGCCTGAAGCCACTCAGGCTAACCAAAAAATGACACAAGAGAAGCAAGGAAAAGCTGAGACATCTACAGCTCATGAGGTCAACAGGCAGCAAGTACCCTGCAACACCCACCCCATCAGAATACTGAACACACATGACATCAAGTGAGATGCTACAAACCTCTAAGAAGCCTCTTTTCTATAAGAATTAAGAGCAAGAATTTGCACCCATACACATTTCCATTTAATTAAAATACTCAATAGGTTGGCAATTAGGTTATGTTGTGGTGGATCATGGTGGGTCTCAGGCTTTTGTATAAAAAAAAAAGCTCTTTGTGTCCAAGATGTACTATAAACTCAGTAGTAGAACATTAACTTGGGAGGTCAGTGACAGTTTGACACTGCCCGAGTATTAGTAAGAGATCAGAACAGGCTCCAACAGATACATGGGAAAAGAGGTACTTGCTGAGAAGAGTGTAAAGAACTGAATTTGGGACTATTCTAAACCCCTCAAGCCATGCACATCAGACATTTACTCTCTCTGAGCTAAATCTGGCTCAGGTGTGATCAAAGTACACCTTAAGGACTGGGCAAGGCCAGTAAAACAAACACTCAGTTTGAAAAGCTTCCTTTGTGGCCTCTCACTTCAGCCAAGGCTGTGAGCAGGCTGCTGGCTGCAGAGCAGCATTGCTGCTCATGTGGTTTGTCTGTGCAAGTCCTTGAAGAGGGGCAGGTGCTTGGGAAGTTGGGCAAGAGCTGAACACTGAGGTGATGGCACCCCTGAAATGGACAACTTCTTTGTCTGTAGTAGCAGTATGGAGAGGACAGACTGCATTAGCTCAAGAAATTTAAACATGAATTCAGAGATCACACACTGATATTTTAAGGCAAAATATTTCACTTAGAATTTATCTGTTCTAGTTCACAGAATATATTACAGATGTATCTTAAAGATCTGTTTATCACAAAGTCCTTTGATTAAGGATCACTGCCTAGAATAATTTAATATCCAGAGTATTTTTAACAGAGTTGAGAGTTTTAGATACTATCTTGTGAAGCAGAAAGCTATAAAATGCAAATACTAATAAGTTACTGATGTCATCCTGATGTCAAAGGTTGGCAATTATGTACAAAACACACAAGCTGGGATGAGAACTTTCATTCTTCAGTGTTACACAAATGCTGAGATAACCGCACAAAAAGAAGAGCCCTGAAAAGATGTTTTAAGCAAGTTATACATCAAAATCTTGTAGCTGAATAGCATTAAAGTACTTACAAATGTTAAGATTTGCAAAAGAACAAGCCATTTGGTAGATGCTGCTCACTCACAGCTGTATCATTGCCAGATGCTGTGTTAAATTCAGAAATATATTAAAATTCCTAGAAGTCCCAACAGCCCATAGACAATTACTGCCCCATATAATGAAGCAAGTCCAAATTCCAGAGTCTGTACAGAGAGAACTTGAATCTGAGTTCACCAGCCTCCTCTAATGAATGAGAGCTTTTTATGACATTTCTCAGTAATTCTCTCAAAACACATTAAGGCAAATAAGTCTTCCTAAATAAGATCAGTTTATAAGCAAACATTAGAAAGGCATAGACATAAGATCTAGCGTTTTTCATGTAACTGAAGTGAAGGTAACTAGCACAGAAATGTTACAGAACTGTTACAAGTCCTATTCTCAGTTTATAAAAGCCAACCAACCAATAAACCCACCACCACCACCCCACCCAGCACACTACACAGAGCAGTACCTGTAATAGTACTACACTTCACTAACAGTTAAGGAAATTCCATTGATCTGCTGAGGCCAAAACCACACAGCCCATCAAAAATATTATTTCTGCACAAAGTTCTTTTCCTTCACACAAACATGAAGCAAGTCACATTTTTCAATAAGGATTTTCAATCTTAGGAGTGCTTGTTAAGTAACAGATGGAACTGGGAGGGAAGATACAAGTTAAAAACCAAACGAGCTTTCTGCTCCTAAGTCAAATTAGCCAAGCTGATTTCATTCATATTTTGCCAGTGCTTTCCACAAGCATTTCAATCTTGTGTCCTTCCCACAAGCAAAGGTCTACCAGCAGATGTTCCAGGAGACCCCAAGATGATGCTGAACATCTGGGAGATGTCTTACACACACTTATGTCTAGGACTGATATCATATGTGTTCTTATAGAGCTGCTTAGGCACAACGTGACAGAAATTCAACTGTTAGGAACTGTTGTCTCTGATCACCTCTCCTTAAACCACACATCCATTAAAAAAGGCTTTGGCTTATCATGCCATCATAAAGGTTTACTACTACAAAAACTCATCCAGATGTCTACCTTCAGACTAAAAAGTCTCCTGGACTAGGGGGAATGGGGCAAAGCTGGCAGTGGGCAGATTCAGGCTGGATGTAAGGTAGAAGTTCTTCCCCATGAGAGTGGTGAGACCCTGGAATGGGTTGCCCAGGGAGGTGGTTGAGGCCCCATCCCTGGGGGTCTTTAAGGCCAGGCTGGAGGAGGCTCTGGGCAGCCTGATCTAGTGGGAGGTGTCCCTGCTCATGGCAGAGGGGGTGGGACTGGGGGATCCTTGTGGTCCCTTCCAACCCTGACAGATTCTGATCTGTTTTAGCAGAGGACTTTAGAGCCCTAATGGCTCAAGGGTTGGACTTGATGATCTTGGAGGTCCCTTCCAACCTAAAGGATTCTATGATTCTAAGTGACAGTACCAGAAAGCTGCCAGACCTCTGGTGCATTTGTGACATTGCTACGTTCTCCTTTTATTCCACAAGTGTGGTGCCATGTGACTGAACAGTGTGGTTCCAGCCATTCTGTAGAAGTGCTAGGAAGGTTTTCCAGCATGTGCTACTTGCTTCTGTACGATGAGAGCCTGCCCACTGCAAAAGGCAACAAAAATAAGTTATTTCACATATGTAAGGCTACTCAGGGTCTGACTCAAGCCACCCTGGAGGTCAGAGGACCTGAGTGAGCTGCAAGTCCCATGCACTTCAGACAAGTACAGAAGACAACACACACCAGCTCCCCAGAAGACAAGCTTTATTGAAGGCACTTAACACAAACGTGGCCTCTGGTTTCTCAGTCTCCTCGAATGCACAAACACATAAGTCCCAGTTGCCAATACTGAAGAGCATGTGCTTGGGCAAACAAAGCATCTCTAAAATGCTGAACTAAAAACGAACAGTCGAAAAAAATACTCAGTGCCTTTTATAGGCCAAAACTGGACTTCCCTAAGAGTGTGTTACAAAAATTAAGTTTAAAAAAGCTTTAAGAAGGCCACTCAAGGCAATTTTTAAAAATCACTATTTTACAACTAGTAATAACAAAGCTATCATCACATCTGCACTGCAGCAGTGCAGACAGAACACCACACATCTGCACGGACCCGAGAGAGAGACTGACAGCTGGGCAGCTAACGTGGATGTTGGCAGCAGGAACTGGAACCAAACGTGTAGGGCAAGCGATGCTCATTTTCTTATCTCACTACTTACATAAACACTTCACAACTCAAAGCATTCTGCCAATTACCCGGAGGAATCATTTCAACTGCAAGTGAAACCGTGGTGCTATTTCTAGAATGGAATTCAGAAACATGGTAAGATGACACAGGAGAAAAAAAAAAAAAAAAGAAAAATCAAACTGCTTTAAACCAGAAGAGTACCACAGGGGTTTTCAAGCAGACTGGGAGAGCTGTGGATATCTTCCTGCTTAGGAAAATACTGAGGATTTTTCTTCCACACTTCATCTGAAATGCTGGCATACCACCTAGGAAACCATACTGCTCTTTGGAGAATGGCATGTATAAATCCAGAGATTAAAGAAATCAAAAATGTTTATGGAAGATTCTCAGCCAGGCACTGACAAAACCTGACAATATCTTCACCATTCAAGTGACAAGAAAGTAGTAATTTTCTTGATTCAGGTAAATCTCTTCCCACTAGAACTGAAAGTACATAAGTTAATTAAAATGGTTTAATAGTTATGTATTTATTCCATTTTGTCACAGAACTGAAACTGCTCTATAGACAGATAGAAGAATTAAGACTACTTTCCTCAACGTAGTCTTGGGAGAAAAAAAGGCATTTTCTTCTCAGAAGTTGTGTTTTTGTTAATTTATAGTTTACGGTACAACACAGAAGAGCCTCTTCAGCAAACTTTCTCAGCATAGCCTAAGGAATGCAACAATTCTTAGTTTAAAAGTAGCACCCAATTGATACAAGTGTTTTTATGTCTATGTGCTCCTCCAGTGCAGATTGGATTGCAATCGTTAGGATTCATTGATGAGGTGACTCTACACTCAGACTTAGCTCCTATATCAGAAGCAAAGCAATTCAGCTGTTCTGTCCCACTCCCCACTACACAGAGATACACCATGGCCCACAATTTTTAGAAAGCCTTAAGCCATTTCTAAATAAAATGCATATTCATAGATTGCAAAATATTAACTATTTTATTGTTCAAGTCAGAGTTCCTCAATTACTGTCCAGGAAAGCTTCACAGATTACTGAAGAGCTTCAATGCAAAGAGCCACCTCGCTGCCTGTGGAAGAGCTCAGCAGCAATTCTTGAACCTGCATCACAGCGTGGAGGATTCTGTGAGAACCACGGCGCCTCAGCACTGCCCCAGGGCTCTGCTGCCAGAGCTGAGAGCAGGCAGACAACAACCCCAAACCCTGACTGTCCTAACGGGACA